CCTTTCTCATATGGTACTTTTCCCTTCAACCTTCCGAGCAAATTTCTAGCCAGGCAGCTCCAGCGGCCTGGAACGGAGTAGAGCACCTGCCCATTTTACCAAACCACCCCCTAAACAGTACCGTACCCTCATCTCAAGGGGAAAACTCCAGTCGAAATAAATGGGACAGTAAAACCCGCAATATGGCAACCAATTCTAACATTTTCGTTTTCACTATTGGAAACGAAAGCAGGAGATATACACCACACAGAAAGACGTGAAGAAGGAAAGGATTTTTTACATCTATTTCAATGATGCCAAAAGAACCTACGATTCTAACAGCAATAAAGCCACCCTCGCTGTTCCAGCCTCACGCTGCTGCTCCCAAAGGGGGAGGGGCAAATCCTTAAGACAGACCATGAGTCAAGGGTTGGGGGGGGGGGGGGAATAAGTTTAAAGATTGAGGGAAAGCAGTACGAAATTAATAACCCAAGATATTGAAAAGTTTGGTTCTAAGGATTTCGGAAATTGCATTTTGTGTTACAACCCACACGACGGGTGCTAAATCGCATTTTTATCAGAATTCGTTCCGCACTTTTATAAAATTTGTCCTGGAGATTTCACGCACGTTAGTTTCAAAACTGTTTTTCTGAAGATAACAGCACCGTGTAACATTATTTAATGTTCAGTTTTATTAATAATATACAATAGTCCATGTTACAATACTCGAACAACAAACGAAAGGCAATAAGGATTCATATAAGCGAATGTTATTCTGCTGAACAGCAACTGTGCCACAGGCCGCAGGACATACAAGGAGTATAAGAAGCTGTCGGCCGCATAAGCACAGCTTGAGTTCAAATACGAGAGGAAAGCGTATTAGGAGGGCCAGGTTCTCGGTCTCACAGCTGCTAAGGCAGCTTAAAATGCAATAAACACCATCGGTTCCTTCTTGGCGCAGTCGAGTCTTAACCTCCGTCAACACTTGAAAGCCCTGTGGTAACTATAAGTACCACCTACTTAAACAACCAATAACCCTATATTTTGTATTGTGGGTTTCGTATACTTTTTACTATAAACAGCAAATATTTCCTTGAACCGAAACAAGCTGACCTTTGTAATTGAGAAGTGTTGTGTTTTCTTTGAGGTACGAAAGGACAAGCGGGAAATGCCTAGGGACCTTCACGGCAAAAAATTTATCTCCGTTCCCTCCGTTAAATGTACTGTCTCACACTACTCCCTCTCCCACTTTCTCCTCCCTCGTCCATTTATTCGGCTTCAAAAGGATTTATCATTTATCGCCTGTAAACTGTATTCAATCTATAGAGCGCTTTGAATCAGCGACAAGACTACAGCAAGAAGATAGATTTGCATGTCCGCCATTATATTATTACCGATTGTAGAAATTTAAAGAGTACGACCGGGGGTGCCCTGCAATGGCACAACCCTCACACCAAATTCCGTTAAAATCGGCCAATGACTTCATAAGTTGAAAGCGGGGACACAGACAAACAGTAAGCAGAAATACACAGCATAATAACCTCACACGCGTAAGTTCGTCCTTAGAAAGAAAAACATTCTAAAAAGGCGGTTAAACACCTACGATCCAAGTGGGATTCTGACGACTGGAGTGTTCAAGCCTCGAAAAAACCGTCCGGCTACTGGCATCAGGCCGTATCAACCAGGTTTAATCCTTTAAAGCAGAGCGGGGATTGCAGGTACCACATAATTTAAAAATCAAGAACTCTGCATTTTATATTTATGGGTTTCGTATGATTTTCGGTGCAAACAGCAACTAATTACTCAAACAGCATTGCTCATTGTACTGGTGAAGTGTATCACGAAATCAGATTTTGAAAATTCGGACAATCGTCTGTAACCGAAAAGGCCGGATAATATTCCATGTCTGATCTAAAAAAACGCCAATGATTCCGGGCCGGAAATTCTGCAGTCAGTCAAGTGGCTCACATTTTAGAAAACGCCTGCCCATAAGATCTCAAAAGCCGCCTTGTGATGCAGCCAACAACCTCCTTTTAGAGTCTCCAGTAGCTGAGGTGAAGAGACTAATTTCGCACGGCGTTCGGAGATAACGGCCCATATAAAAGATGTGCATTTCCTTTGTCACATTCACTCTATCAGAGCCTCTCACTTCGTCCCCTAACCACGCATCGTGCCCATAGTAACCGACATAACCATCATCGTTAAAGCTAAGTGGTGATATGTCAACCCAATAAACTGTGTTCAACTTTCCGTCAAGTTTGGAGAACATACAATGTCTGCTCGCTTCTGATATAGCCCAGGACTCACACACAAATGAGATGTTTTAACTTACAACTTTCAGTTTAATGATTTCTCTTTGCTGCAAGCGGGAATTAGTAAAGTAACTTGCTGTGGATTACGACGACCGTGGTTCGATTTATGAAAGGCAGAGGGATTTATCTCTGTGCCACCACATCCAAGACCAATTGTGGTAAGAACCCAGCTTATTATATAATGGATAATTGAAACTTTAAATTCAATCCTTCATACGTCTTCATGGCATAGTGGCTATACAAAGAATACTTCTTTCACTCCAAATTTGTTTTCGCTGTAACAGTTACTGGTTAGGGAAGACTCCAATGGTCATTTATGTTCGGCTACAAAGGGAAATGCATAATCTTCTCATCAGTAAGGTCACGGGGACTTCGTTACATTACACCACAATTATGTTAGGCAATTTTCATTGTTTGAGGAACAGTATATACGCATTTTGGAATCTCATTTACAGATGTGATATTTTGTTAACAACTCCACGCTGCACAGTCGCTTTTGAGACACTAATAGTGACTCAACCGGTCAATAGGTTCTTCACCGTAGTCACAAGAACCCACTACTGCTCCCCTAATGAGGCAGATAAATTCAGTCTATAGTTTCGTATATTATTTAATTAAGATACATTTTAATATTATAGCTCAGTCAGTATAGTGACTAGCTACGGGCTGGACGGCCGGGGTTCGATCCCCGACGGGGGCAGAGGATTTTTCCTCTAGCCTCTGCGTCCAGACCGGCTCTGGGGCCCACCCAGCCTCCTCTACAATGGGTACCGGGGTCCTTTCCCGGGGGTAAATCCGGCCGGGGCGTGATGCTGACCACTCACCCCCATCTAGTGCTGAGGTCAAGAATGAGTAGGAGCTATACCTCCACTCACCCCAAGCGCCTACATGGCGTATAGTGGGACAAACTTTACTTTACTTTTACATTTTAATATTATGCTCCGATCGACTAGTCCCATCGGGAATTGAAAACTAAAATTCTGTATGTATTTCTCGCCTGATATTACTTCTACAGCCGACAAGACTAATAATAATAAGTATTATTACATGTAATATTGTTATTGTCACCATTTATCTACAAATTTTTATGGTTTTTCTCACGCAGCAATGCAAGAACTCAATATGGTTGAACTTCCTTAAAATGGATGCAAGACACGTGGGGACCAGGTGATGAAGACAAAAAGAAAAAGACAGCAGCAAGGAAGATAGAAAGCAATAATGCACGCGAGCATCTGAGGAAATTAGAGCAATTACTTCTCACAGTAACGGTAAATGGGAAAGTCTTTGAAGGGGGGACGAAACGGCAGATCGCATGAAGGACCCGTGAATGTACGACGTGATTAAGCAGTGGCAGTATTTCATACGCAAGAGCTAAGTTACAGAAGTCGTCACCCTGCGTTGTAGAGTGACGACGGGACGCTGCTGTAGTCAGCCAGGAATAAAATCCTGCATCCTGCGGTGTTAACGCTCGTGCAGGGCCGACACCCCGACGTTCCTGCGACGAAATTAAATTGTTTTCCTACTAATACTAGGTATTACTATTCAGAGTACATAAAGATTTTTAATTATAATTTTGATTTCGCAGAATCACAGCGACATATTTAAACACTATTAACATCTGTGCGTTATTTAAAATGACACGGTTATAAATTACCAAAAAAAAAAAATCACGCGCAAGTTAATGGTACCTGTTGCTTCATTGTGGATCTATAATTGTATCGCAATAGTTTCTTTCCAGACTATAAAACTGTTGGAAAATATACAATTATAAATACAATAATTATACATTCATTCGATTAAATATTTATAAATTTAAATCAGAAACATTTTACCTGAAAGTATGTATAGTTTCATAATAATAAGCATACAACTTACGAGGTAAAAAATTGTATTTTAAACTTTAACAAAACTGAGCGTTATCAACACCTAAAATGTTCGCCTTTTGGTTGCTGAAGTCCATGAGTGTTATGTATTATTCATTCTATGTTGTATATTTTTAAAGTATTAATAAATATTACGTGATATCTGAACTGATGTAGTTCCAAGGTTTACTGTCATCTGCATGTTCTTCTGCTGCTGTATGTTTGGCGACAACTTGTCCTTTGTACGTGGTGCTGTACAGACTGAGTCCTACAGAACACTACACGCGTCATACATACATTCCTGTCTGCTCACTTTCAAAGAAGTAACAAGCAGAGCAATATTACTTGTAATTAACCTGTGACATTAGTGTTCCCTGTTTCAACCGGTGGCTGGGGCGAGTTTGAAGCGCAGGCAATATAGCGCACCTCTCCCTTCCAAGAGATAGCAATACTTGCGTTAATGAATCCTGTGAGGACGAAATATGCCACAATACGAGGTCAATAATTCTGCGCAAGGTTCCACTGTACTAGAAAACTTGAGAAATGTTTGTCTAAAATATCTGCTGAAATACGAAATGCTCCATTCAAATACGTAATCGGTTAAGCATAAAATTATATGTAAAACTGTGAATAGTGAATAGGTTAAGGACATGGAAGAGGTTGTGGCCTATTTAAATGTTCTATCCCGAAATATCTGTAATATACATAACATATATCAATCAGAATTGCCGGCAACCGGTCCAATATTCGACCCGGACAACTCTTGAATATAAATTCTCATCTGTATAAACTATATTAATCTTTTCAGATTTTCTACTTTAAAATATCGATGTTCTTCTTGACTTACCTCACAGTTTGAGTGACTAATGTTGCTCAAATTTAACCTGAATACACGATCCCTGTAAAGAAGATGAGAGAGAATTACAACAATTATAAACATTTACACACACGAAAGGTTATTTTTTTAACTTAGTTACACAGCGTAATATTAAAGTGTCAGGACCACCTGCTTCCTGTCTTGAATCATAGAGTGCGCACGTTCTTCAAATAAGCCTACCTTTACACATCAAAAGAACCTCATCCTACTTTTGAACACACTAGTAAAAAAACCGTGCGGGCAGGCAGAAGGCAAGGAAGTTGGTTAGCAGCTCAAAGGGTTGGAATAACACACGCACACAGTGTGTGCAACCCGCCCGCCCGCACGCGTAAGTACAGCACTGGGTATAGAAATGAAAACAGATAAATACTTTGAATAAAACGAGAGATTTGACTTTAGAACACTTTAAACCGTTCAACCAAGTACTGTGCTGAGGTGTGGACTCGTACGTAGATGCCAACGTTTCGGAAAAACATACCGAATCCATCATCAGCGTGAAGTCAACCCTGAAGATGAAGACAATTTTCCTCTGAAACGATGGCATCTGCCTTTCAGACCACACGGCGCTGGAACACACAGGAATAATATCGACATCTTCACCGCCAAGACAACCTCAAATCTTACGTAACTTCGTTCCTTGATGACTGTTTTACACGTAAAAACTATGTTATGAAGTATCACAAGTGTGTTTTAAAGTATTGGTCTTCTATTAAACAGATGAAAGGCGCATACAATTCGAGAAGGATGTGCGATACGATCGCATCACGCGCGTTTATTCTTCAACTTTATACACATTTGAAGTACATGCAGTCCTGCAATCAGGATTCCGCTCATCTAAATGAATTAAGCGCTGAAGATTTCTGTCTTCTGGATTGTTTCGCTGTGAAGTATGGTCGATGTTTACCAACGTTTCAGAGGTCATACTGCCTCCGTCATCAGGGCGATTCTTAGTATGAAGATTTCTGTCTTCTGGGTTGTTGCGCTGTGTAGTCTGGTCGATGTTTACCAACGTTTCAGAGGTCATACTGCCTCCGTCATCAGGGCGATTCTTAGTATGAAGATTTCTTTAAACGCTATTTCGCAGTAAGTAAAAAAGTATTATTCAGGCCTAAGAGATTCAGTGCTAAAGTGGCATACCGAAGCAAAAAGCTGAGCGTGATACCCGACCTAACAACATCGGGGCCAGAAACAAGTCTTGGAGGAAAACCTCCACAACGCCTTTTCACTTCTGGCATGTCCTCACTTCCATTATCTGTTTCTTGTGGGTTTTATAACATAAAAAGGGAAAGAACGGCTCTTCGCATAAAGCATGTTCCCTCTGATCTTTGCTCACTTCTTTCACTTTATCTTTTCCCCCCCATGTCTCGTCTTCTTTCCTCTGTAACCTTATTTTTCTCCCCTTAGACACAAGCTTCTTTTCTGTTCGCCACAGTATCCTTGATCTAAAAAAGAAGCAACAGAAGAACACAGCACCTCTAGGGAACGAAGGACCAGCAGACACACGACGCC